CCACGGGCACCGTGGCGGGGGCATCCGGCGCTCTGGCGGCTCTCAGCCCGTCCCTGCCTCACCGCGGCGCGCTCTCCCGCAGAGAGCTGGGCCTTAAAGCGGGGCCGGAGAGCAGTCAGGAGCAGCCAGGTCGCCTTACGCGACACGCAGGCTGCCGCCTGCGCCTACAGCGCTCCTGCCGCCGCGGTCCCGAACCGAACGCCGTTACGGACTGGGCAGGAGCAGCGAGCCCTCGGGGGAGACGGAGGCTGCCATGCCGAGAGCCTTAGAGAGCAGTCCCGATGCCGGCTCTGGGGGGCTGTGAGGGGGAGCGAGTTGGGAAAAGGGCGAGTTCCAGGCTCTTGACCAGTGTGTCTTCACACTGCCCGTTGTGATTGTGCTCTTGTGGGCTGTTCACGATGGCAGCTGTTTGCAAGTCATCCCTGAGCCGTCCGCTTGCTGCTGCATTCCATTGCTCAGCGAGAGTCCCTAGCGCCTGAGAGAACGTGGAAGTGGTTACGGTGCTCGCTTTCCATGGCTCGTCGGTTTCAGCCCTGGTCCATCCCTTCTCCCTCTTCTTAAACTTCTGTGTTACCAGACACAAACATATGCCGGTCGAGTTTAACAGTGCCTTCGAGGGCATAAGTAAACTTTTGTTTAGACATTTTTGAGTCCTTTTTTCTTTTTTTTTTTTCTTTCATCTTCCCCATCTGGAAAAAAAATAAATAAATCTACTGTTAAAAGTTTATGCCTTAAAAAATGTGTAAAATTTCTGTATTCTACTATTATAAATAAAATATTTAGAATTGTTTCAGGATTTACTAACGAGTAAGGTCTAATCGCGTGTCAGACCGCGATTTCTTACTCCCTGCTGCCCCTCGATGGACGTTTCCCAAGTTTCTGTCGTTCTGCAGCACCAGGTTAAGATCCCAATTTCGGAGACATAACAACTACTGCAAGACCGATGAAAAACTGCGTCCGAAGGCCATTATTCAAGCGACACTTGTAAGACAGGGAAGTTAAATAACTGTTGGAAAACCTCAGTGACAAAGCTCTTCAAATGAACTAATTGGTGGCTCTTAAAAGAGCAGGTCTGGCACAGGACGCCAAGGCAGCTTACTTGGAGCTGGTGTACTTGGTGACAGCCTTGGTGCCCTCGGAGACGGCGTGCTTGGCCAGCTCGCCGGGCAGCAGCAGCCGCACGGCCGTCTGGATCTCCCGCGACGTGATGGTGGAGCGCTTGTTGTAGTGCGCCAGGCGAGAGGCCTCGCCGGCGATGCGCTCGAAGATGTCGTTGACGAAGGAGTTCATGATGCCCATGGCCTTGGACGAGATGCCCGTGTCCGGGTGCACCTGCTTCAGCACCTTGTACACGTAGATCGAGTAGCTCTCCTTGCGGCTCTTGCGCCGCTTCTTGTCGCCCTTCTTCTGCGTCTTGGTGACGGCTTTCTTGGAGCCCTTCTTGGGCGCGGGGGCGGACTTGGCCGGCTCGGGCACCGCAGCAGACGACTCCCTCTCTCAAATAGGCAGCGCTACTGAAGTCTCGAATAACACTGACAGCTGTCGGAGCCGCTTTTATAGGGACTGCTTCCGCCAGCAGTGTGACTCACTGGGGCCAGGGTTATGTCAACAAGGAATGTGCCCGCTTGACGAGCTGCGATCTGACAATTATTACAAACATATAAGCGGTGAGCGTCAGAAAGACGGAGCTCGGCTTTTCTCAGTGGTGACCGCTTGACGCGCTGCTATCAGACAATTATTACAAATATGTAATGGGTGAGCGTAAGGAGATGGAGTTAGGCTTTTCTCAGTGGTGACCAGTGATAGGACAAGGGGTAATGGTTGCAAATTGGGGCATAGGAGGTTCAAGGTGAATATCCGAATTTTTATTTTTTTTTTACTGTTCCAGTGACAGAGCCCTGGAACAGGCTGCCCAGGGAGGTTGTGGAGTCTCCTTCACTGGAGACATTCAAAACCCACCTGGACGCATTTCTGTGTGATGTGCTCTAGGTGACCCTGCTCTGGCAGGGGGGTTGTGCTAGATGATCTTTCGAGGTCCCTTCCAACCCCTAAGATTCTATGATTCTTTGAATGAGTGTTGTGGGGGTGCGGAGCTATTCGTATTGTCCTGGGGAGAAAAGCGATGTCAGGACCGCAGAGCCCTGTGCCCGCGCGCCCCTCCCCCCCAAGTGTTCTGGGGGAAAGCGGGGTGACTGCATCGCGGGGTGCTGAGCGGTGTTAGCACGTCGGTGCAGAGTGATGGGACGATGTGCGTGTAGGGGAGATTCGGAACGATGTGTGTGTCGTTGGATTCAGGGCGATACGTTTCGGGGAATATCGACCAATGTTATTGTCTGATCGTAATGGGG